GGCTCCTGCTGCCGCCCTTCGCGCACTGGGAGGGGCCAGGGCGCGGGTGGCGCACGGGTGCGCTGCTGGGCGCTGGCCATGGCCTTGGGACACTTTTGGTGGTTGGCAGGCAAGGCGTCCCCAGAGGCTGGCGGGCAGGTCCTGATGGAGTCTGTGCCCTGGTAGTAGGACCCTTGTCCCTTTAATGCCCTCCTGGAACCCTGGCTGCCGTTCTCCCAGGTGCTCCCCAGTCCCAGCTGGGCAGCACCCCTCAGTGTTCTGGATGCGGCCAGAAAGGGGCAGGTCTCTTTGGCAGCCTCCCTCAGAGCTGGACAGCAGGTGCTCATTCACAGGCTCTCACTCTCCCTTATGAAGAGATCACAGGCCTAGAAGGTTTCTCTTGGTGCTGAGCTGTGCTGTTTGTGGGGAGGGGTAACAAGGGTAAAGTGAAATTGTTCCTCTAACCCTCTTCAGTGTGTCCAGTCTCAGACAGTGTGCTGGAACTTCTGCTGGACTCCTGGCCTCCTCAAAGCACTCCCTTTAGTGCGGGTATTTAGTGTATGTATTGTGGATATTGGTGCTTTTGTGGGTGCAAGGAAGGCGGAATATTCCTATTTGGGCATTTTGAACTCCGTGCTTTAAATTTTTATTACTAAGTAATTATATCGAAAAATTGACTTTTTTTGGTGTACAATTCTCTTTATTTTGAATTTAATACATTATATAGATCATGTAACCATCACATGATCATGCCACAGAAGTTTCATTGCTCCCCCAAACTCCCTTCTGCTATCCTTTTAAAAGTACACCCTCTCCTATTCCTAACTCCTTCAAACATTGAAAAATACTTAAATTCAGAATATGATATAAGATGGTTGAAAAAAATTGTTCTGGACATGGAGACATTTTGAATGGCAGAAATACAAACATGAGATTCCTTAATTGAGAAGTTTAAGAGAGGTAAATAATATGAGGACATACTGATAGTATTTCATATTTAGTCAACCAACTGGTAGGAAAATGTTGGGTGTTTTTAAATTAGAGAACACGTTGTTCTGCATGTGGTATCATCAGATTTAATGGAGATTCCAGTGCAAGATCTGAATACGCTTCAACCAACTTAGCTGAAAGTTCAATGACTTTGAGACAAGGATGATACGCTTTGGCTACTGTATCAAGGGATAGGCTGTGATAGGTAATGCCTCTTTATTGTTTGCCATGGGGTTGAATAATATCCCTCGACATAGGTTTCCTTTTATATTCAAACACAAAGAAAGCTTCATTATCATCTGTGGTAATCATATGAACAGCTGTCTTTCGAAGGTGTATGAGGTCATCTACAATGTATTCCCTTTGGAGCTGGGCATACAGAATATAGAGGTGCACTGTGGCTCATCATGGTCCCAACTGAGGTAATAGGAAATATATAAATTCAAAGGTTTGAT